AGAGAGAGAGAGAGAGAGAGAGAGAGAGAGAGAGAGAGAGAGAGAATTTTGGAGAAATATCTGGAAATCACTGATAACTTTAAGCATTGAATGCAAGCAATAGTTTGCAAACTCAACGCAACGTCGCCTCAAGTCTTGATTCATATGTTTATTATTATATGAATGTAAACAAGCGTTCAGTCATTCAGTCATTGATTACAACTAATTGTCATTCAATTATTGACACAATTTATTGTCACTTAAAATAATTGATTTACAAATGAATATAAAACACAAATAAAATGATGTTTTATCACAACTCAGGGTTTGTTTCGCTCATTCATAGCTATCAATGAAAAGTACTCTTCATTTCAGTAACCAATTAAACGATGGTTTGGTTCGTCTGAACGGATGGTCACAAGTGGTTCCCATATCAATGCCCTGGGCCTCAGACACCACCACAAACACCACTACTACCGCCACTTCAGCCCCCAATCCTCCGCATATGATGACCACTACTCACTCACCACAAGTCGATTATCAACAAAATGTGATGCACTTCACGGCCAACGCATCCCAACAACACATGAATCCATCACTTCTTACATATCCGAGTCATCCGATCGGCAATCCATTGCCGACGACAACGAACCCAGTGTTGGCCACAAATGAGTGTCCGCTGGATGTGTGTCCGGATCCGTGCACTTCACAGACGGCCACGCGTTGGGAACTCTTGAATAATATCTCGTCTTCGGCCGAATCGATGCGTTCATCGCATCCACACCTGAAGAGACGCAACGAGAGCTCGGATGACGAGTACGACGACGGAAGGCCTGTCAAGCAGTACATCAGCGAAGAGAAAGTGTCGGCCATTTTTAATCGTCTTCACATAACGAATGGTAATTCCGGTAATAATGCGATTCATATGTTTGATGTGAACGACAAGTGCGAAGACGAAGACTTTGAGGACCAGTCGACGTGTGAGGCCGACTCTAGTGATAAGAGTCCTATAGTTTTCGCCCACGAGTTGCAGAATGCGATCAAATCGAAAACAATGACCGAAAGACTGGTCCAAAGCGAAATCGACAAACACTCGAAGGCTGTGGTTATTTGGCGGCCAAACAATCCTCTATTTTCCATTGGCTTTAACTCGAAGTCCGCCGACAATGACGAAGATGTGGCCAAAGACAGAGAATCGGCCAATAAATCCGATAACAGTTTCAATGATTCAGACATTGATTTCAGTCAAGAAAGAGATGAAGAGTTTATTGATTACGACAATGACATGGAGTTATGTCTTTAGGCATGGAATCGGGAATTGAAACAACTTTAAGGCCATTGTATATTAATGTCCATCAGATTATCATTCTTTATGAACAGCTCTGAGATTTTTTTGTACAAAATTTCAATAACTTTTAGCTGTTTTGTTAAGTGATTGTCAAATGAATGATAAGAAGTTTATGTATGAGAAGTGTTATAGACATTAAGTGCTCAATCAATCAATACATTGAAGATCTCATTAATTCATATGATTTACAATCGGATTTATACCAAGTTTGATAGTTGTAAGAGATTTTCATTTGAGGCGTTAATTGTATAAATTCCTCTACTTTTCAACTATATATTTATAGTTTAAATAATAGATTATATATTTAATTAATTTTAATATCTTTTCCTAATAGTATTGAATGTATGCGTGGAATGAGATTTAATTAAATAATTAAACCCTTGTTGTACATAAAATCTTTTTAAAATTTCATAAATAAAATCAAAAAGTTTAAAACTCAATATAGAAATGCGTTTATATTGTACTGTATGTGAAATGTATGAAAATGTTTCAACCAATATGTGAATAAATGTGTGAATATTTGCAACAATAATGATTAGAGAGGAATGGAAAGGGGGTTAGAATTTTAATTAGAAATGATTTGTAAATAGCAAATAGTGAGCAAAACTTGCGCACAAAACTACCACCAAATGTATAGATCATGTAATTTGATGGCGAATTTGAGCGCAACTCAACTCAATCTGTACTCGACTTTCTCTCTCCATGTAATCCCCAAACGCTATAGTTTTCCAAACACTCCATTCAATAGAGAATTGTATACTTTATATTATGTAATTTGATGGCGAATTTGAGCGCAACTCAACTCAATCTGTACTCGACTTTCTCTCTCCATGTAATCCCCAAACGCTATAGTTTTCCAAACACTCCATTCAATAGAGAATTGTATACTTTATATACAGTTATATACAGTAGTGTTGAATAGGATATATTATATGCATTGGGAAACACAGCCATCATCTTTTGCCACACAATTATATTTCATGATTAGAAATGAGTGCGAAAAACAGTTTTATATAACGAGTGTTTTTATATACAATTAATTATGTTGTCATCGATTCCAATGTCAAAGCCGTCAAAATCATAGGAAGCGATGATTTATTCAAATGTTGTTAGCATTGCATAAATCATATCATTGAAGAATATTGTGGTCCGGAATTGACACATATTTCAACAATGTCTGAATCTCTGTCATCGGGTAAGTCATTAGATATGGGATTATGTGACACAGCGTTTAGATTCTTCAATATTTATTACAAATGATATTTGATTGTAAATAATTATATCTGATATGAATTGTGTTTATATTTTAATCGTGTTTTAGAGAAGGAATATAAAGAAAAGCTGCTCCGTATGGTTAAACGAGAGGTCAGTCCCCTTTATAATACCATTATATCTGTATAATATATAACAATTCATCATTTAGTCGTTAATATATCAGTCATTTATGTAATTGTTATTATTATGGAGTTCTCTGTGTTTGTATCCATTGAATAATTTGATTAAATTAACATTTAGTTAGGTTTAGGCCGAACATAGGCTCCGATTCTTTAGTGTATTCCAGGAATCGATTATTTTGTTTGTTTTGTTAATATATAGTAATAATAATGAATATATATTTGAATGTTGAGAGCAAACACATAATGCATATAAAAACTGGACTTTCAGGTCAAGCAGATAATGGAAGAGGCGGTCACTCGTAAGTTTGTTCACGAAGAGAGCAGTTCCATCACATCCCTATGCGGTAAGCATTTAAGCGTTCACTATATTATTTATACT